CCCGCCCCGCCGCTCGCGGTGGCCAGGGCCCGCCTCCGCGGCACGGCCCCCCCGCGGGCTCCCACCCTCATCTCCCGCCGGTTGCTGTTTTACAGCCTCCAGCCCCGGTTTCCCGGCAGAAGTTTTGGGCTTTTTAGCCAACACCTGGATGATTCTGTACTACTACTAAAGGAGCGGAAAGAAGATCGAGGGACTGGGGAAGGGACAACCAGCGATCCTGTGTTTCAACTGCAAAGGCGATTCCCCCTCTGGACCCGCGTGTACGTAACCATGAAGAAGACAGGACAGGACACGGTTTAATCATTTCAGCTCACATTGTATTTGCATTTCAGATTTCACACAGAAATGTTTCATTCAACTAAAACCAGCTCCCGAGCCACGATCCACAGAGGCTGGTTCCCCGGCTCGGCACCCGCCAGGCCAGAGGCGCCCCCGTGGGGCCAGGGCCCAGCAGGAGCCGGGCGCAGCCTCTCCCAGCTGGTGCCAGCGGCTCCCCAGGTATCCTCTGTATCATAGGTGCAGCAAGGGCTCACCGATTTCTCTAGAGACAGATCCAGCATAGCAGAGACCAGAGAGAGAGTTTTCTGGACACTAAGGTTTTTGCCACTTTGAAGAAGGTATCAAATCTTTTAAAACCACTTGCCAAACTGGTGCCGCTGGTAAGCCGCGTGGGACTTCCCACCTCACGGCTGAGAGGAGACATGTGTGCAGGGCTGGCCCTACGCTGAGGTCAAGCCCTGCTCCAAGTGGTTATCTGCAGCCAGGCCTGAGCTCTGGTTTGGGACAAGCAGGTGGGCAGGAGGACTGGGAAGCGGAGAGGGCTGGTCACCAAGGAACAGGCCAGGGTAACGGTCCCTAGGGGGGTTTTAAAAGGACTGGGGTGGAGAGGCTGATGGTGGCTGGGCAAGGAAGGGGGGAGAAAAGGCTGGTGCATGTTGGGCAGGAGCCCAAGCACAGGGCCTGTGCAACCACATGCTTGGGACAGCTGCGGGGGTACACTTGCTCACAACTCATCAGCCCAAGTTCAAAGGTGCCTCACACAGGAGCATCTGTGTCCATCCATCTGCAGGCCCTCTAAGGAAAGAGCAGGTGGTGCTGTGACCCCTTCTACTCTTGGCAAAGCTGGGAGAGGAAGGGAAACTATTCCAAAGATGCACTTTGGTTTAACAAAACAGGCAGCTGCACCTGGGAGATGGAATAAAAGACCCAACCCCCCAAAAGGATGGGTTGTTTTTTTTTCCCCTTGCAACCTACAGTAGCTTAAAACTGAGATGCTTCTAGGTTGATGTAATAAAATAGGTAGACTGATTCAAAAATAGAGGGGGGAAAAAAAAAAATAGTAAAAAAAGCCTCAGTGAAATTCTCTTTCCAACTTAACTACAGCCTGATTCTTCACAGATCAACAAGAGTCTCCAAAATCAGCTGCAGCACCCCTCTGCTCACTGGGCTTGGTTAATAAATCACTAAGTCACTTAGCCTTTGGCATACTGTTAAGACAACAGAACAATACAGAGCACAAAGAGACATCTAACTCCTAACATTGTTTTTCATACTGCCAAAAAAAAGTGTAGAAAGTAGCTATCGATGTGGGTCCACAGAGCAGTGCAGTGAGACAGTCACAACACTGGAGAGAGGGAGGGAGGAGGGGAGATGGACAGACAGTGACCCCCCCCCCCCACATTCCAACATCATCTCATCTGCTCTGCAGATGGGTCTGGGAAGTCCTGCTGACGGATGAGTTTCTTGGGATCTGTCATAACCAGGGTGACATTGGAACTCTCTCAGCCAGTGACACCGGGTGAACAGGAGGGTCTAACCCTCTCGGACGCTGACCCGGGGTTCTGCCAGTGAGCTGTGGATGATCCCGACAATAGTCTCAACGCCATCTTCCTCCAGGAAGGTGCGGTGATCTCCTTCGATGACATGGACTGAGATTTTCCCATCACAGACCTACACATGGCAAAAAAGGGAAAAGAAAGAGTATGGTCCACCCAGAACTACAGTGTATTGTAGTTCCCCACTTGTTGCCTCTTAGCCAGAAGAGGCAAGAGTCTCCAAGCTGAAGGAGAAACAAGCGTGAAGCTTTCTTGCTCCTATAACATCATCTCTGTTTTGGCTCTAGGTCCCTTTAGTTCCCAGCAAAAAGCAGCATCAGGCTCAGGGGCATGCACGAGCCAGGCTGTTAGGCTTCCTGCCTTCAGCTCTAGTGCTGGCAGCTGCTTTCCTCCCTGCTGCCCCAAGGAATGAGCTGATGCTGTTGGGCACTGAGGTCGTCGAAACATTCACAAAGCTGTGGCTGCCCCCCCCCCCCACATCCTTACATGCCTAGTACCATTTTAGTATGTGCAAGTCAGGTTGTGGGGGGCAGCAGTGAAAAAGTCCTAAAGGGGCAGGACACCTGGATTGTGGTATTAGAGAAGAAAGGTGAAGGTTCCTTTGAGGAAAGCTAAAAACAGTTTTCTCCTACGTGCTATAGAGCAAGTAAGTGGGCAGAAGGCAAAAAACCATTTTGCTTTTAATTTCTGGTTTCAACTGACCCCTTTTCATCTCCAGGCTGTGTGCTTCAGGGCACAGATCTCTCCCCTTACCTGCCTGTTTATATAAAAAAAGTATTTTTGGGAGCTATTAGCAGTCACAGTGGAAACTGTTGCAGGCCGTTAGGAAATCACCTAGACCTGGGGCAGACCACCTAAGCCTCTGTGTCCTGTGGGACCAAGAGCAGCCTCCTGTTCATGGTTTGGAGCTGCTTTTCAGCTCTCTGCAAGACGGCTGCACAAGCATTTCCTTCTCTGGAAGACTTGTTCCCTTGAACAAGGAACGCAACTTCTGGCTGCTTCTACCCGTTCTCCCTCCCCTGTCCGCCACAGCACAGAAGAGCACCCACAGCAGTCAGAGCTGCTCCTTAGACTGACCTCCGAGAGTTTGTAATCTCCGCCCAGGCCTTCTCCGTACTCATCGTTCATCTTTGTTCTCAGCAGCGTCACATTGCCATGGTACTTGAACTCTGGTACATACTTATCAGCAGCCTTCAGTTTGTGGTAGAAGGAGGCAGCAGCAAAGCTGAGGGCCTCACGATTGAGGTCTCTGTGAATCCGAGTTATTAGGTCCACGGAAGCATTGACACGAGCATCCAGGTCTTGCAGGGGCAGCAGAATCTCCAGCAACTGGAGAGAGCAAAGAAGCATTTGGTGGCAAGACAGGGAGGGGCATACAGCTACTGAACAGAACTCAGATTTAAGGAGCGTCTCCCTGAAGCAACAGGAAGTCTGGAGGAACGTTACCTTATTGTATTCAGTGCCTGTGAACTGCTGAACAAAGGCACGCATTGCTTCAGTCTCTGCCTCCGCCTCACTTCCTGGGGTCATCTTGGCCGTGTAGATCTGGAACAGAAAAAAGGGCCACAAATGCCAGAGGGGGGAGCTCTGCCCTGCTCCAGAATCCATGAGTCGGTATTAGAAAGCAAGTGGCTGAGGAGCCAGAGACATCAGAGAGGACAATCCAGAAGGGTAGAGAAAGGAGGTGGGGTGGGGAGCTGCTCGCTGTGGAGACTTGAGGAGCAGCCAGCTGCCAAGATACGTGTGCCCACCAGCTAGAAAGCACTGTCAGCAAAAGGGAGATCCTGGGGGTGCTGGGAGGCTCAGCCCACTCCCACGTGCACACACTACAGTGTACAAGGCATCCATATTAGTTCTTTTGTCCCAACCCACATCAGCTAAATGTGAAATGAAGTCACGTGGCAACCTCCAGCTCTTATCAGATGTTCCCTCTCCCTCCACCCAAGGGGTGGGGGGCCTCCTGTGGTTTTTAAAATGTGGTATGGGCTCCTTAAATGAAATGCTGCCCAGACAGCTTGGTCACCAGATGGAAGCGCCCCAGAATGGCTTACCTGGGTGAGCGCAGCCACGTAGGAGTGGGAGCCGTCGAACAGGAAGAGGCTGTTGGACCCCAGGGAGGGGTTCTGCTGCTGGGCTTGCAGCTGGGAGCACATCTCGAAGGCGACACAGGCTCCAAAGGAGTATCCAGCAATGCGGTAGGGTCCCTCCGGCTGCACCTGCTTTATGCAGTCAATGTAGTAGGCTGCCAGGCTCTTGATGCTGTCCAAGGGAGCAGCTGAAAGAAAGGAAGCAAAGCCATGGGTCAGGAACAGGCTGGACATCGGATGCCAGGAGGATGAAGCTTCAGCAGACGTGCACAGCTTCTGGGCCTGCACTTCTGACCCCAAGCAAGTAGCCACGAGGCAACGAGAGCAGCAGACCTGTCCTCACAGGCCTGTCTCTCTGGACCAGGGCCTCTCTGCCCATGGACCCACCCTTGGATTCCCACCGGTGCAAGAACCTGCTCTTCACTCCTAAGCATCTTGTCCCCCACTCAGGGAAGAATGGTTTCTGAAGCTCTCTGGTGGCCTTGGCTGGGGCACCGATGAGGCAGAGCTCAGAAACAAAAAGTCCCACGGATATGAAAGCCAGCCACACAGGGCCAAGGGTTGAACCGCAGATACCTCGTGTGCACTGGAGCCCGTAGCTGGGGATTCTGAGCCTGGAGGCTAGGGCTTGGAAGACAGCAGCGGATCCCTCAATGGGGTGGATGAGGAACAGCGGGCGCTCCGTGCTTTGCACCTCGTTGAGTTGGGTGATGGTCGGCCCCTCAGGATTCATCAGCAGGTTGTTCAGGTTCAGTTCTGGGTGCTTGGCCTGGCCAGCTGTAGTCTTGAATGGCATCAGCTCTTCAGAGGGAAAGCATATGGGAAGCAGCCACTTAGTCAGGCTCCGATTAGTGAGGCAGGCAGGAGGCCAGCTCATGTAGGCAGCCACATTTGGTGCCCCAGAAAGGACATGCCTGCCAGTTCCTAGAGGAAAGCGGGCACCTCCCAACAAGCCTGTCTTTGGATTCTGCCACGCCCCTTGCTTGCACTTTCCCCTCCTCCTAACCAGGCTGATGCTACTAATGGCGAGCTCATGGCTCATTCCGGTTGCAGATCTCTGCACTTGAGTGGTTCAGAGAACGAGGGACCTGCCAGGGCTGCTGTGGTGAACAGGCAGCAGAAATGTTAGGCTACTTCCACATAGCTTCCCTCCTCAACCCTTCCTGTGGCTGCTTGGGCCATTGCTGAAGGGGCAGCATGCCTTCCTAGGGCAGTGCTCCATGCCACTTCGCACCCAGAGTCCCTGCTTCACACCAGGCCATGCTGCATCCCCTGGCTGTCAGGCTACTATAGTTGCATGGTCTGTTGCAGCCTGGGAGCCTGCTCATGATGCCCTGTACAGCAGTGGTTCTTAGCCGCATTAGACTCAAGGTCCCCTTCAGAAAGTGCCAGCTCCCTTTCACTCAGAGAGCAGAAAGAGCAATTCTTCTGTTGCAAAGAACCCAGAGAGATTACAGCAGGGCAGAATCTTATTAACCATACAAATTCTTATCTTGCAAATCACATGCGGGTGTTTTCTACACCTAGTGTGTTGCACTCTTAGAAAGGTCTCGCAGGCCCCCGGCTGTGAATCCTTGGTGCACAGGGTCATGAGGCAGTCCGCAGTCTGCCTTATGCCCAAAGTGTGGCTGGAAGCAGCTCGCCTACCCTCTGCTGTTCCAGATTTGGCGGAAAGCTGCCGCAGTTTGTTAATGGTAAGCCCTCGAATCTCTCTCATCGGCATGATGATGTCATAGTCCCTCTCCAGGGTCTGCCGGATCTCCACGCCCATGAGGGAATCCAAGCCCAGATCAGCCAGGGTGCTCTCGGCGTTCAGACTGTTCAAGTCACGGACACCTGAGGAAAGAAGCAGGAGTTTAGTGCAATAGGACAGATGTCCTTCTACCTTCTGGGCTTTCCCAGCAACATCCTCCCCCAGTAGCTTCTTTTCCATTCCTCCTCTTCCCTTCCCTGCTTAGCATCCCCTGGGGTCCCATGTCTGTGCTTCTGCTTTCTGCCTCAACCATTCTTTTTCCAGCCAGCCTGACCTGCTTCCTTAAGCAAAGCCCCCTTTGCCTCTGGGCAGGCTTCCGGCTTGCCTCTGTGGATCCCATGACCAATCCAAAAATGCAGTACTTTTAGCAGTTCATTGATAGCAGCACTGACAATGTGCTGGATGTCTCCACTGGGACATCTTTGTTGGAATTCATTCAAATTGAGGAGTGACAGGAAACAGATTTTATACCCAGCTGCAGCCAGAAGCACAAAGAATTTATCAGGGATCTCACCAATACCTTGTCAGCAGCAGCAGTGTAATATCCCAGGTCATGCTGGAGTATTCAGCTTGCACAAATCAGGCAGTCAAGGCTGCCAGTGCCAACTTCCCTGATCTTGTTGGGGCTTTGCACAACCTGCCTCTAACCCAGACCACGTAACTGGTCCCACCCTGGACCAGATCTTTAGATGAGATATCAATAGGAAGTGTGTCAGACAGCAAAGAGGCCCTCCAGTTCTAGCTAAACCAGTATCCCATATCAACCAACTGTTCCCGAGACTGCCTTTGAGGAGCTTCCCTGCCCTGCGAGTCACTCCGAGCCTTGGAAGAATCAGGCTGCAGGCTCAGACATGGGACAGGCCGCTGCAGAGCACCGAGAACCCGTCCAGATGGCAGCAGGTGGAGGCATTAGGCCACCAGGGTAACAGGACAAGCAGTCATGTTCACTACTATTTTCACTTTTCCCTTGTACATTCCTGCCCACACTGCCCCCAGTGTCTGCATTCATCAGTGGTTCCTTATACTTGGTTGTGAGCACTTTGGGGAGGGACTGTGTGTTCTGTGTTTGTACAATGATGCATCTGCCTCACGCCAAGCTGAACACCAAGAAGTATAAACAGCTGGCTGGAAGATGGGACAGAAGAGGATGATACAGGAACAAGGAAGCCCCCCAAAAAAGGTAACTGCTGGCATCTAGCTAGAAGGCACAGCCAAGCAAGTACAGGATCCATCAGCTCAGCCCATGTACAGAGCACAGGGAAATACTGAACTCAGACTCCATCTTCTACAGCCAAAACAGCCACCTCCTCCTCAGATCCTGCATAATTGCAGCCTTGGTGCTAGTGTTTCCCTTTGCATCAAGCCCCAAGTCCTCTAGTCCCCCTGCATGGTTGGATGAAAAACCTTCCCCTTCAGTAACCTTGGATAAGACTCTCCTATGACCTCTTCTGTCCCTGATCAAGCCCCAGTGGTTTCCCTTTTGGCTTCCCCAAGTTCTTCCTCTTGGACCTTGTTTCCGATCTGGGATCTACATTCAGTCCAGGCCTTTCACACCCTGGCCTCCAAGACACTTCATAAGGACTCTTCCACCTACATCTCTGACCCAATTTCTTCCTACACCCAATCCCAATCCCCATGTTCCACCCAAGCGTCTCTTCTAGTCACTCCTTGCATTGCCTTGGCTCACTTCCTTCTTCCACGCCAACCCCCACACTCATCTGGGAGGCTGAGCTGCATTCCCTCCTCCACCTCTGTATCCCTAAGCCACCCCCTGCTCTGCTAGATCAGCGCAATTGCACTGGCCCATTGTGCTGGGGTGTCTCATTGCAAACCAATACAGCAATGTGTCTACTGGTCAGGGTGTCTCAATGCAGAGCCCTGGGGGAGGGCTAGTCCTCAGAGGGCAACCCCCCCCGCCTCCGAGCTATGCCACTGGTGGTGCCAGCAGCACTCCCACTGCTGCATGGGCAGGAGGTGCTTCTGGAGAATCAACAGCTGGCTCTTGGGCCAGGGCCTGCCTTCAGTGACCCACTGGCAGCTGTTGGCACCACCGTTTCCTGCAGCGCATTAGGATGCTGATTCTAGAACGCAGAGCACAGGTTTACGTACCCAGGATGTGGGTCACAGCCTCCACGAGGTCACAAGGGCCACTTCCTTCACTCTTTGTAGAAATCCTTTCTGCCAGGACAAAGCTGGACACAACGGGATGTGGCTCATTCAGGAACCGGTCCAGAACCTCCAGGCATGAGGCAATTCGCTGTGGGATGGTTCCACCAATCACAATGTCGTCATTGCCCCATGTCTTCATGACAATACCTACATCGCCAACAACACCCCACTGCACACACAATGCTGGAAAAGAAGGCAGAGACAAGGACCCATGAAATGACAAATGGGAGGATGACTGTAGGGAGAGAAGCAGAGAGCTTGTGTATTCACCCCCATGCTGACATGCTCTGGCAATTAGTGAAAGAGGATGTGCGTATGTCCACTCACCGGCGTATGTGGGGAGACAAAGGCAAGGAAGGAAAAGTGCTCCAAGCAGACAGAGGCCTGAGCTCTTTGGAAGCCCCCTCTGCCTGTCTGGCAAGGTTTGGGGAGGGGGGCAAGCTGAGGAACAACCCAGCCTCTTACCTGGAAGCCCATCATGCTTCCGCTGCTCACAGACACGCTCCATGGTGGAGTTGGCAAAGCCATAGTTAGTCTGTCCAGAATTTCCTCTTCCAGAGCTTACAGATGAGAAAGCAACAAAGTAGTCCAGGTCCGGACACTTCTTACGGCTCACTCTGAGAAGGGGACAGGATAACATGAGTCTTTTAAACACTTCTGTTAGGAGGGTCCTGTCTTACCCCCAATGTGACCTCAAGGAGTAGAAACATCTGTACAAGCAGCCCCCAGGCCTAGGCCAGTACCACCAAGTTCCTCCCTCTGACACCACCTACCGGTCCAGATGAACGATGCCTGCAGACTTGGGTTTGCAGACCTCTTGGAAGGATTCTGGTGTCTGGTTCTCCATCATGGCATCTCTAAGAACCTGTGGGACACAGGAAAGGCCACCTGAACATCTCTCCAGTTTGTCTTCAAATTGGTGTCTAACCTACTCCCGTTAGTTTTGGAGGTTGCAACTGCAGTAACGGGTTCTCCATTAGGCCTATTACTAGAGATCCAGCTACGAGATTTCACGTGCTGATCTGTGCCAAGATGCTGAAAATGCACACAAAAGGGCATACCCACTCTTTCCTCATGTTTTCTACATAGAAATTATGAGCTAATATCACCGAGAGAAAAATCTCTTAGCTGATGACTGATTAAAAAAGGTCATCTCTTTATTGGATTTTTCTAGTCCATTCTTTCCCTCATCATCCAGTGGCCTCCCTCATCCCGAAAGTGCTGAAAGGGGTTTTCCATGGCCAAAATCACTAGAAGGCATGACTTACGCCAGGGATGGGCTGCTCAGTTCTAAAGGATGCAAGCTGGGAGGTCTGCCCTAGAACTGGCAGAAGGTCACAGTACCAGGTATTCCCAGGCTACGTATTCCCAAATTTGGGAAGACAAAAAACAACGTTGATTTGACTCCATGAGCTCAGTGCTGAAAACACTCGCACAGCTACCGAAAGTTTCTGTCACTCACCATAGCCAAGTTAAAGATTCCCCCAACCGGTCCAAGCTGTATCGCTTCATCTAGTAATTTCTGTGTTCCCTCTAAAGTGCCAACGTCACTGGTTGACACCAAGACCTGGACTCCCATCTCCTTCCATACACCGATTTGTTTAGCTTGGTAGCCTACAAAACAGAAGTCTAGTTTGAACGTCGTTGTTCTGGGTAGCCAGTGTCCCAGTGAAACTACTTCCTGCCCATTTTCTGGTCACTAAGGGCTCCTGGAAAGATTTTTCCTGCTTTTACTAAGGTTAACAGGAAATATAAACCTCTTGGGGAGGGAGACAACACTTGCTGTTGTACATGGTGAACCCCTGAATGGAAGTTCCTACTTAAAACGCAGCATGTTGCCCTGTGGGACAGCGTAGCCATTGCATGCAGCTCTGAGAGGTGAAATGGAGCTATTTTCATTGCAGTTCTTCACGTGTCATATCCCAGAAGTCTGTTTCTCTTCTGGAGAAAAGCTGAGACGGTACTTATTTATCTAGAGCTGAAAATATGGCTGAAGCTTTGCCAACATACGACAATCCTCCCTATATGCAGGGGGCGGAGGAGGGCAAGGTAGGTTTAGAGCAGTAATTCTTGGCCAGGATGCCACAGAACCTTGGGGTGCCTTGAGATTTTCAAGGGTGCCACGCAAACGACTCACAAGATAAGCCTAGAGATTTCAAAGAGGAATCCACAGTGCCAAAAACATTTCTGACCTGTTGTGGTCTTTCCAGGCAATTTGCAACAGAAGAATTGCACTATTATTTTTCTGCAGTCAAAAAGAAAGAGAAACTAAAACCCAGCATTTTCCAAGGACTGCCTTGAGCCTAATGGGGGATACCTCGAGTCAAAAAAAAAAAAAGGTTGAGAATCACTGGTCTAGTGCAAGTTGGAAAAAGGAATCAGGAAGGAAATCCTATTGGGTAGATGGATGGGGCCACATTTAAAAAGAAAGGAGAGAAGGATTGTTTGTTTGTTTTTAAATATATACAGAGTCGCATAGGACTGACAGCAAAACCAGAATTCAAAATAGCTGCAGAAGGCAAGAGGGAAACCAGGACCAGGTTAGAAGACGGACCTTGTCCAATCAGGCAAGGTAGCCAACACTTCTCTTCCAGAGCAATATCTTGGCCAGATTGAAGAGGAAAAGGCATGAGTCATGGAGATGGAAGGGAGAGAATGCAGCAACTGAGGTGGAAGAGGAAGACTAGGACAAGGGCCTGGAGACTGGGATGGGGGGGGGGGGGGAAAGGGGCATGGAAAACCAGAAAGGAAAGGTGGTGCA